GCATGCGTCTGCGTGTGTGTGTACGTGCTTTTGAACATAAGTGTGTGCGTGTGTGTGCGTGTGTGTGTGTGTGTGTGCGTGCTTTTGTACATAAGTTGTATGTGTGTGCGTGTGCATGCATGCGTCTGCGTGTGTGTGTGTACGTGCTTTCGTACATAAGTGTGTGTGTGTGTGTGTGTGTGTGTGTGTGCGCGTGCTTTTGTACATAAATTGTATGTGTGTGTGCGTGTGCATGCATACATCTGTGTGCGTGTGCATGCATGCGTCTGCGTGTGTGTGTGCGTGCTTTTGTACATAAGTTGTATGTGTGTGTGTGTGTGTGTGTGTGTGTGTGTGTGTGTGTGTGTGTGTGTGTGTATGCATACATCTGTGTGAGTGTGCATGCATGCGTCTGCGTGTGTGTGTACGTGCTTTTGTACATAAGTTGTATGTGTGTGCGTGTGCATGTAGGTGTGTGTGTGTGAGCGTGCGTGTGTGTGTGCATGCATGCGTCTGCGTGTGTGTACGTGCTTTTGTACATAAGTGTGTGTGTGTGTGTGTGTGCGTGCTTTTGTACATAAGTTGTGTGTGTGTGCGTGTAGGTGTGTGTGTGTGTGTGTGTGTGTGTGTGTGTGTGTGTGTGTGTGTGTGTGCGTGTGCATGCATACATGTGTGTGTTTGCATGCATGCGTCTGTGTGTGTGTGCATGCATGCGTCTGTGTGTGTGTGTACGTGCTTTTGTACATAAGTTGTGTGTGTGTGTGCGTGTAGGTGTGTGTGTGCGTGTGCATGCATACATCTGTGTGCGAGTGCATGCATGCGTCTGCGTGTGTGTGTACGTGCTTTTGCACATAAGAGTGTGTGCGTGTGTGTGTGTGTGTGTGTGAGTGTGTGTGTGTGTGTGTGTGTGTGTGTGTGTGTGTGTGTGTGTGTTGGGTGATACTTGTCATCTGGGGACAAACAGAACCCTTCTGGTTATTAATGAGTGTTTGGGGCTCCTGGTTTTTTGCGGTCTTCCTCTGAACTTGACATTTTAACTTCATTTAGTGAGTCTGAGAAGTCCTTGTGTCCCTGTCGTCAGCAGTGTATTGATTTATTTTCCAAGAAAATGTTACCTGTTCTCCTGTTCCTACATGCATACATATAAAAATAAGTCTGGCTGATTTCTGAGCAAGGACACGTGGTGGTTTAAAAGCAAGCAGACATGGAAAAACCTCAGGCTGCAAGCTGAAGGAGAACCTGGTCGGATCGGTGACTAAACATGGACTCCTAGAGCATCCTGGATGTTTTCTTTAATTGAATGAATTCCAGAATATGTCATAAGACTGATGTTGCTGTAAAACTCCTGGTTTGTCTGTTGTTCATTGAGAGGTAAATTATGTTTAGTGATTGCTTCATAAATCTTTCCTTCAGGGACATAAAGTTGTTTAAAAATGTAATTGGCTCCAAAGGGCACATGATGTGTTGATGCTGAGAGGGAGAAACACAAAAGAGGGTGATCTCGTTTTCTTCTTTCCTTTTTTTTCTCTGATATCGTAGCCGTGTGACTGTGGCACATCCTGCTGTAATTCTGAGGCAGACAGGAGTGAGACGTAATGCTGGTTTTACCGATGTTGAGGTGTGTCGACAGCACGCGGCAATCTGGCACAAAAAAGGCATTAGTGAGCAGAAGAAAGAAGAATTTAGTTTTAAAGTGTGACTGAGGTTTATGTTGGCACAGAAAAGGCATACAGGTAGTAATATATATGAAGTTCAAATCCGTATTATACATTTAAGGTTGTTGGAAATGTGAGCTGAAAATATAAAATACAACCCAAACATAAATGTTTTCTACACTCCTGAGGGTGTGTGAGGCACATTCTTAAAAAGTAGCAAGAAAATGTCTATTTTCAGGTTTGTCATTGTACATTCAAGTTATTTTTTCTTTGTTTTTACACCAGCATCGCCTCCTACTGCTCCTCCTGTAGATGTGCTCTCTCCCTGATTTGGGAGTTGACGTGGTGAGCTGGACAGATGAGACATGCAGTCTGTGAGCAGCAGGAAATCTGCTCCGGACATCATGGCTCAGCACACTGACAGCTGGTGCATCCGTGCTGTGTGTTTTGTTGTGTGTGTGTGCACATGCATGTGTGTGTGTGTGTGATTGGTCAACTGAGTTGTCTCCGAAGAAGCAGCTGCAGTCAAAAAAAGAGTTCAGAACCTTCGGTTCATCAACTCTTCAAGTTTCCTTTTCAGATAAACACTTGCACCATCTCTGATGTCATTTCCGTCGGCGACAGGATTAACTAGACGCATTTAGCTTTGTGTGTTTGTTGTTTATTTGTGTACACAATGATCCAGCAGCAACCTTAGATGCTTCTAACGAAAAAGGACGGCCTAAGCTGATCACACTGCGAGGACTGTAATGCAGCGCCTATAGTTGTACCGTACATCACTTTGATTTGTGCACTGACCCGCAACAAGTCTGCTAAGTGGCTTACACTCCTCTGTGTGTGTGTGTGTGTGTGTGTGTGTGTGTGTGTGTGTGTGTGTGTGTGTGTGTGTGTGTGTGCATGTGCGTGCGCACTGACTTTGAAGTATGTTGTGCTGTGACAATAATCTAAGCCAATTTAGTAGCCATTAGCCCTTCATTATGGGTTTGACATAAAGTAGTGCGTGCCTGGAATGCTCTGCCATAAAACGATCATTTATTCCTCCAAAAGAAATTACGTGTTTAACCTCATTAACCTATAGAACATGCTCTAAAAGGAGAGCAATACCCCTCCCACCCCAAATCTCATTCGGAGAGCACCCTCACGCAAATACGAATTGGAAACATCATCAAAAAGTTGGGAGTTCATTGTGAATGTGACCCCCATAAATGAGAAGCAGCAGTGAGTTTAACATCAAACCATTCTTCTGACTTGTCAGGCTTCGGTGGTGGCTTTGCTCTCTGCTCAAACATCGTCTGTCTTTTAAGAGATGATTAACCTGGCAGGTGTGAGGTGGGTCTCACCCACGATCTCAGCGAGCTGTCGTCTTTAGTCTGCGGGGAGTACGAGGGGGTCAGCCCGGCCGGCTAATGGCCACGCTCACAAAGCTGGAAGCCGGCCCATTAGGAGAAGCCGCCATCATTAGGACGGACACGTTTTCAAACAACCTGACCTACTGGGCCCCCCCGCTGTTTATTAGCAAAGTTTTGGCTCCGCTTTAGAGCAATTATAGTCACCGTTTAGGATGAACTGTGGCCTTTTCCTCTGCACAGTGAGACGGGGAAAACACACTTGCATGCATAGTAAATAATGTCAGACCATTGTGTTGTCATGCAGAGAGCTGCCATGTTTTCCTGCTCGTGTGAAAAATAAGCGAAAGTGCCAGCAGTGATGTACGTTGCTCATTGGACACAGAACATTTAGTTTTCATTAAGAGTTAAACACGTACACGAGACATTGTTGTGTTCAGCGGCAGCGGCGGCGCACCTCACCGGATCTCCTCCTGATTAATTAGCAACTCAGCACAAGGATAAAACACAGAACAGAAAATAAAATGGTCGCATGTTGTTGTTTTTAAGATAAATGAATATCCTCCTCTGCCTGGGTTTCAATCAGCTGTGGACCTAAGGCCGGGGGAGGGGCGGAGGATGAGCAGAGAGAAAGGTCAGTGTGAGTGTTGCCGTTTCATTATGAGAGATGTGGACTCCCTTTCCTCTCCTGCTGCACAGGGGGTGATGGAGAAGGTTGTAAATGTCTGGTCCGTCAGCCATATTGGATTCAGGGCAGTAAATTAATATTACACTCCTTTTAAAGGGGTTTTGTTTTGGGATTTACCGATCTCCCTCGAGTGTCTGCTGTGTAAAGAGGTTATTTTCCTCTTTCTGCTCTGATCCACGTCCACTCACTATCTCTCACACACGCCTAATACGTTTAGAGAAAGAGAACCCATGTTCATCTAGGAAGGATGCGTGCGCTGTAGGCTATTTCGTGTCGTTCGGTGTTTGTTTTGCACATTTTTCAGGCGGTGCAGGAGTCTGTTGTAAATTGTGCCAAATTTTCCAAGCGAAGAAAGATTGTCCTGCTTTCCCCGCTCAGCAACAGTACTTCTTCTCTGCTCTTCCTGCACATCCTGTTTGTCAGACGGGAATCTTAAGTAATTAATAACATCTGGAGTTTATAGGAGGTGATTTGTAGAAAATGGGCTGTCACTTATCTTTATTCTGGGACCCGTTTTGCTCCACTGTGCTTCGCGTGGAGAGGGTTGGTCTCTTGGCTGCAGAGCAGTAGAACTGTGTCAAGTGTTCTGGTCACTGAGGATGTGTGGCTGCTGGTCCATCAGCGTTGATGTTAAAAGGGCTGTGATGAAGAGCTGGACTCTGCTGGTCTCTCTGACCCCACCAGAAGCACACAAGCCGAGATTTGTCTGTGCTAGCTCTGCATCAAATAGATCCTAGTTCTGGGCGACACGGTCTCAAATCAATATTACGATACACTGAGCAGTTTATCGACAACGATAAATGAGCGATAACTAACCGTACAGCGGCTTTTAGAGGGCGCGGTGGTAGATTAGGTCGAGGAGAGCCCTCGTCCCTCAGAAGCCTTTCATCACCCATTTGGGAACCGTTTAGATTCAGTCGCTGGTGCCGACCAACGCTTAAACATTTCAAAATCCTCCATTTCCTCACTCCGTTCTTCACTTCGTGTTACAAACCAGATCCAGTTCATAGCACAGCATCTACAAGGACCACCGGCAACCCGCTCACATCTTTTCTTTGTTCAAAGGCCTCGTATGTTGACATGAGCTACACCAGTCTTGGTCTATCACCCACCTCTCCATCTTTCTTCTGCTGCTTTGAGGGCAGACCAGGGACTTGGTAGGCCCTTGTCTTCAAGTAGTGCTCGCTGCAGAACCACAAAGGTGGAGCTGCGCCTTTGTGGTTCTGCAGCGAGCACCCTCTCCTTGCCTTGGTGGCAGTAAAAGCTTTTTAAGAACATAACATTTTATTCAGCTGCTCTTTAAAATACCCTGTTTATTTGTTTTTCTCCCAGGTTCAGAGCACACCGCCACTGCAGCGATTCCTGTCGCATTCTCAGACCTGTTACCTCGCTTCCTGGTGGAGCCGGAGGACGAGTACATCGTGAAGAACAAGCCAGTCACGCTGACCTGCCGCTCGACCCCGGCCACACAGATCTACTTCAAATGCAACGGCGAGTGGGTTCACCAAGACGACCACTTGATCGAGCGAGATGTGGACCCAGCCACAGGTAGAAAGCAAACCGTCTGCCCGATAATAAAATCTCATGACGACAGACCCTGACCCTTCCCAGAGACGTTATGGAAAGTTTGTGTGTTGAAACGTAGGTTTGCAAATTGCCGGTGATTACTGTGCTCCATCAGACTGCCAGCTCATCCTCCAGCCTATTTAGCCTGCCACGCTCTTAATAAGCACGTTGGTTTCAGCCGCAGAAATCTCCTCAGTCACCTTGGAGACCTGTTTTCGTTTTGCTCTGTTATTTTGTGTCCTCCCACCCTCCTGTGCCTCCACCATCAGTGTCATGAACACGTATGTCACTGATAATGTGTGATTCAGAGGTGATCTGCACATTCAGACCACCCATTCACAGCCTGACGAGCGATTGGAGAGGAGAAATGTGGAAATGAGGTTATTTTTTCCAGGATAGCAGGATCTCACATATGTGCACACGCAGATGAAAACCCTTAAAAATAGAATAATGTGAAACAGCTATTATCCATAAAAAGATAATTCACCTTCTGTTCACACACAATACAGAGATTAGAAGAGTCTTAGCTTTCAGTTGATCGTTTTTATACTGCAGAACCTTAGAAATGCATGAGTTTTCTTCAGACTTTGTGTCACTTTGACTGTAGTTGAAAGGGGAGCAGAGTTCTAGCGCTTGTCGTTCATAACAACCTCATCGTCGCTCAGCTTTCTGTTGTTTTGGTTTTATCTCGTGAGCGAGGCTCGCCTCTGGATGCTCGAGTTGTTTTGGAGTCAGACTTCCGTAAACGGTGGCAATGAAAGAGACTCAGAACTTGACAAAGGTTGTCTTCGAAGCTCTGAACTAAGCAGATCTGCATCGCCACACTTGGTGGTGATTAAAGCTGATTTTCCTTCCTGCTGTTGTTTGTTTAAAAATTCAGATTAAGGTTATTAAGATGTTTAAAGACTAAAATCTGCATCCCTCTTACACATCCAGGAAAACCACATTGTTGTGTTGTTTTAGATTAGATGTGCATCGTTTTTCTACCACATGCATGAGTCTGCATGTGTAAACGTCTGTAAGCTGCTGCTTGTGACCTGAAAGAAAAAACCAACAAGAACAGAGAGAGTGCGGTTCTGGCAGCAGAAAGGAGAGATAATTAATTAAAATAAGTGCAACTGAAATTGAAAATAATTCAAGCCCTCCAGAAACTTTAAAGTGGCTCCTTGAAGTCTGAAAAGGCCAGCTGAGCTTCAGATTGTGTTTTCGAATTCGTACTGGTAAAAGCTGTGAAGGGAAGCTTAGCTCTGCCCATCTTTAAGCACGGCTTCCTGGGTGAGGATCCGAATGTTCGATTATTCCCAGATGCTGGTTTCTTAAATGGGCCGTTTGCTTTGTTTAGGTTCTTTTTTTGCCACTACAAATTTTAGATGAGTACTTTAAAGTGTTAAATCTGTGATTTGCCTTTTGTATAAATATTAGAGAATTTCAAAATATATCCACAGCAGTGGTTTTTTTTTTGGTGGTGGTGGTGGGGGGGGGGTTAAATCCTAAATGAATCAAAGGGTTCTTATATAAATGCAGTAGGTTAGTTTCTGTTAAATACGTTGAAGGTGAACAGGTACAGATGTGAACCGAGTTACAGTTCTAGAAGTTTTCGTGCTAACAAAGAATAATTACACACACAGGGATATTTTTGCTAACGACACATTACAAAAATGTACAAAAAATAAAGTATTGTGAAATCTTACCAGACTATTTATCTTTTAACAGTTTCCCTTTTATCTGAATATTACATCAGACCATAAATGCCACTGACACCAAACACTAAACCCTGGTTAAATGCAAATGTTGAGGGAGAAAATGTGACCCCCCGACTGTTTCTGTTCTTCTAATAAAAATTATCTTCAAGACCCAAAAACTAGAACTGAGTCATTAGATTCGGGGAATTTGATGCGGATGTTAACCTTTGTGTTGTTTAAACATGGCTGCCATTAATGGTGAAGCCAGATCACCTCCCTCCCACCTGGCGAGAGGATCTGATCCAGTTGGACCAGAACCTCCCGCCACAAGAACAGTTTCTTCCCCCCTGCTGTTGGACTCTTGAATGACATTCCTAAGGCTGCCCACTCCAGTCGCGTGGTTCCAGTCACATGACCCGGTGTTGTGTTTGTACCTGGACTGATCCGCTCTGATTAGTACCTAGACTGTAGCCATTTCTCTTAAAGAGCAAGTCACCCCCTACAAGAAACTTACTTCACTCCCACTTCATGTTTGAAAAATGCAACAAATGCTGTTGCTTGGCAGACCGAGAGGGCGGAGCCGCTAACAAATACACACACACATAGGCTCACAATGGCATTATGACATCGTAATATACCAGATGACATCATAGCATACCTCTTAGCCAATAGCGGTGGCAGATTTAAATTCAAATACAGTGCAGAATTTTTCCCTGACGACGGTGCAACACTGACAGTTTTAGGCAGAATATTTTAATTTTAACCAAGATGCAATGAACTGCCAAATTATTGACTACACGTGTCTGTAGCATGATTAGACACTCCTTTATATAGTTTTATCAGCAAAAAAATGTGATTTGGGGGTGACTTGCTCTTTAAACATGGCTGCCATTAATGGTGAAGCCAGATCACCTCCCTCCCACCTGGCGAGAGGATCTGATCCAGTTGGACCAGAACCTCCCGCCACAAGAACAGTTTCTTCCCCCCTGCTGTTGGACTCTTGAATGACATTCCTAAGGCTGCCCACTCCAGTCGCGTGGTTCCAGTCACATGACCCGGTGTTGTGTTTGTACCTGGACTGATCCGCTCTGATTAGTACCTAGACTGTAGCCATTTCTCTTAAAGAGCAAGTCACCCCCTACAAGAAACTTACTCCACTCCCACTTCATGTTTGAAAAATGCAACAAATGCTGTTGCTTGGCAGACCGAGAGGGCGGAGCCGCTAACAAATACACACACACACAGGCTCACAATGGCATTATGACATCATAATATACCAGATGACATCATAGCATACCTCTTAGCCAATAGCGGTGGCAGATTTAAATTCAAATACAGTGCAGAATTTTTCCCTGACAACGGCACAACACTGAAAGTTTTAGGCACAATATTTGAATTTTAACCAAGATGCACTGAACTGCCAAATTATTGATGACACGTGTCTGTAGCATGATTAGACACTCCTTTATATAGTTTATCAGCAAAAAAAAAGTTATTCGGGGGTGACTTGCTCTTTAAGTATTGCCGCTTTATTTTATCATGATTATATTCTTACTTCCTTACTTTCTTATCTCTTATTTTTGTCTTCCTTTTTTGGGTTTGGGTTAGGGTTAAGGTTAGTAAGTACCGCAGCAGTTAGCTAATGTTGTGATTCTCGCACATATGGCAATAAAACCCTTCTGACTCTGATTCGGATATATGTACAGATGTAGGGATAGTCAGTATTTTCAGGATTTCAAAATTAAGATTTTTGTATTTTGGAATAATTAAAGCAATGTTTTACTTTTTAACTGATGCGCATCTTAACTAAATCATTACGTAGTAGTATTTTCTGTGGTAAGTTTCCTAACCATCACACAGTGCTTTTCCAGGCAGATAAGTGCATTTTGGTGTGATTCTGCATCCTGCCATGGCAGTTTTATTTTGAAATGATTACAGCAGCAATCGCTGAGCTGAGCTACACTTTTTCTGGCTTGTTTTGTTTTGGTCACTTTTGATGGCTGGTGGTGCTTTCAACCTAGTGGTAGCATGAGACGGAGTATACAACCCACACACAGGGCTCAGGTTAGGGCTGGGCAATAAATGGAACGTTCATTGTTATCGAAATTTCTGGCTCTTAAGAAGATAATTTTTCCCATGTCAATTCATTTGATAATAAATAAATGAAAAAAAGTTTGTAGGTTGGCTACATTCATGTCCCTTTAAGAAGCTGTACCACCTTGAGTCACGTAAAAAAGTAGCAGCCCCATCTAGTGGACAACTTTTGTTTCTGCATATACCTGTAGTTTTCGTCCATTTATCGTTATCGAGGTGAAATCCTCAATATATCGTGATATTTATTTTAGGCCATATCGCCCAGCCCTAATATATATATATATATATATATATATATATATATATATATATATATATATATATATATAATCTTCAAATTAAGGAACCTCTCAAATTCTGTTAATTTTCTAACTTGTTTGGTCAAAAAAAAAGAAAAAAATATATAGGACTTGAGAGCAACAATCAGTCCCAGTGCAACAATGACTGGTGTTTTCAGGTCCAGCCCCCCCCCCCCCCCCCCCCCCCCCCCCCCCCCCGGTTCATTCTACAGGGAGTGCAGAATTATTAGGCAAATGAGTATTTTGTCCACATCATCCTCTTCATGCATGTTGTCTTACTCCAAGCTGTATAGGCTCAAATGCCTACTACCAGTTAAGCATATTAGGTGATGTGCATCTCTGTAATGAGAAGGGGTGTGGTCTAATGACATCAACACCCTAAATCAGGTGTACATAATTATTAGGCAACTACCTTTCCTTTGGCAAAATGGGTCAAAAGAAGGACTTGACAGGCTCAGAAAAGTCAAAAACAGTGAGATATCTTGCAGAGGGATGTAGCAGTCTTAAAATGGCAAAGCTTCTGAAGCGTGATCATCGAACAATCAAGCGTTTCATTCAAAATAGTCAACAGGGTCGCAAGAAGCGTGTGGACAAACCAAGGCCCAAAATAACTGCCCATGAACTGAGAAAAGTCAAGCGTGCAGCGGCCAAGATGCCACCTACCACCAGTTTGGCCATATTTCAGAGCTGCAACATCACTGGAGTGCCCAAAAGCACAAGGTGTGCAATACTCAGAGACATGGCCAAGGTAAGAAAGGCTGAAAGACGACCACCACTGAACAAGACACACACGCTGAAACGTCAAGACTGGGCCAAGAAATATCTCAAGACTGATTTTTCTAAGGTTTTATGGACTGATGAAATGAGAGTGAGTCTTGATGGGCCAGATGGATGGGCCCGTGGCTGG